GTGGCCATCCTTCAGTTGGCTGGCACCTGAAGCTCCACCCACTAATTAGACTGTGCTTCGCTTGTGGGGTGGGGGTGGATCCCCCCCCAGACCCGCCAATCAAGTTGGCAGGGAGTTCCCACACATCCAGGCAGAGGGAATGCCTCCTGTCTCAGCCCTGGACCGCCTCGTGGTTTTAGATCATTCACAGCAGCCACAGCAACGGCCTGTGTGTGCCCGTGTGGATTCCGGATTCTGGAAGGTCAGGCTCCAGCCATGTCAGTTCAGCACTGGGCTGGAACACAAACAGAGGCGATGGCTTGTCAGAAAACACTTGGTGAGAGTTCGGGGAACTCTGGGCTTGCAGAACTAGAGCGCAGCTCCCCGGATCACCAAGGCTACTGGAGAGAGAGACGCCCATCAGAGCCAGGAGCTGCACTGCAAGTCGTGTTTGAGAATCTGGAGGGGGGCACCTCAGGCAGGGTGGTTTGGACCACAGGGGGAGAAACCTCTGGGAGGTTTCTCTCTCTTGGCCATCCCAGAGGCCAGGATGATGGGATGGGAGGAGGCTGTTTCGGGAGGCTGGCTGCCCGAAGTGCAGCAGCCGCCGCAGTGGGGCGGGGAAGACCACATGTCTGCCGTTCACAGAGATTTCTGGGAGTCACTGTTTCGTCTGACACTGCGGGAAGGGGGTGGAGTCAGAAGCAAAGCTTTGGGGCCCAGGAGAGGCACTCCAGAGGCAGGCATTTAAGTCTTCTCTGGGAAGAATGTCAAAGAGGGCCCTGAGGGTCCAATCCCTCCGTTGGCGGCAAGGGAACTACTCGCGGTCCCCGCAATTCCCAAAGACAGTCCTGGGAACCCTGAGTCAGTATGCGTCCCCAACTCTAAAAGGTCACCTCATGAAGCCTCTACCCCCTTCTTCCAAGCCTCTTTCCCATGAACGCTCTCTTCGCCCCTTCTCTCCTGGGGTCCCCAGTTCTGCCTCTCTAGTCCTCTGTTCATTCCCCTTCTCCTTGCCGCCTGTGTCCCCCATTCGTGCACATCCTGTCTCCTGGGCTCCTTAACTTGACTCCTGCCTCGCCAGGCCCGCTTTATTCCCCTTCCTCTTCCGCTATCAGTATCCCCCATTCATTCACTCTCCTGCTTCCAGTATCCGCATTCATCACTCAGCCTCCTGCAGACCCCCGGCTCCTCTTCCGGCTTCCCTGGTTTTCCCCTCCGGCCCCCACGCCCGTGCCGCCCGTCTCGCCCGTCCCGAGGCTGGGGCTGGTCCCTCGGCCTCGCCTGATCCTCCCACTCCTCTCAGCTCGCGGGGCACGGGATCCAACTCCCCCCCAACTCCCCCGGAGCCCTCTCCGCCACAGCCCGGCTCGGCCCCGCCTGGCTCGGCCCAGTATTGGGCCCATAGTCCCCCTCGCCTCCTCGCCCCCTCGCCCACTCCACCTGCAGCTGAGGCTCCCGAGGCCGAGGCTCTCCTCCTGGCGCGACCCCCACTTGCCTCCATCCCCTGCCCTGATTGGCCGCTGCTTGACAACCGACCCTCACAACAAAACCTCCGGCTCAGAGCCCCGCCCCCTCACTTCACGCACCAATCAGCCGCCGCGAGCTCTCCACCTCCAGCCAGGTTTGACCAATCGAAGCAGGCGCTTCTGCCGCTCTTCCTAGGTACTCGCCCCCTTTTCCTGAATTGGACTAATCATGAGGAAGGAGACTTCAAGAGCCGCCCCTCGGCTTCTAATGAACCAATGAGGGCTGCCATTTCTTTGGTCCCGCCTCCGTCTCAAGCTTTCCCTTTCCTCCCCTTTCTTTCCTCTCCCTCGCCAGAAGACCCTCCGATGCCGTCTGCGCCAATCGCTTTGTAACCATCCCTATTTAACCAATAAGCGCTCGCCTTATTGGAAAACCAATTCCCAGGTAGCCAATGGAAAGGGTACGTCAGGAGCAGCGTGAAGCGGTGGCCCTTCCATCTTGGAGTGGGGCAAGGCGGAGACGAGGTCTTCGCCCTTTGCTATATAGTTCCTACTACTTCTCTTTAGTCGGTCTCAGGACTTTGCCCCTCTTCTTTGGCTCTGACGGGAGACCTACAGGGAGACGGAGACTGATCCCGGGTCCGAGCCGGGAGCAGAGCCCCGGAGCGCTGCACCACGGCTGCGGCGTCGGTGAATGGATGAGTGGGCTGCTCCTTTAAAAGGACCACCAACTAGAAATCCGAGAAAGTCCGGCTTTATTGGACTAGTGGTAGGTGGGCTTAGGGAAGGGCCGTAACTGGCGGGAGCCTGGGCCCCACACGTGGTTGGGCCGCCCGGGAGCCGCTTAGGAGGGACTGGACCCCACAGGAGGTGCCCAGGGCCTGGTGCCTAAAGACCTCCGAAGCTCCCCGTTTATCTGCCAGCCTATCACTGCAGCTCAGGGCAGCCTGATCGCTCGTAACGCCTCCGACGACCCTAAGAGCAGGAATCCTGTTCCCATTTACGGATAAGGAAGCTGAGGCCTAGATTAAGGCGCTTGTAATAGGCCACACGACCAAAAAGAATACTGTCGGACTTGAACCCTTGGTGTTAAAGCAAAGTCTGTGGGTTTCTCCACTGAACTGCACTCACCCCCAGAGAGAGGCAGAGGGTTCACCCCTCACGTTGTGCTTTTGGGGAGTGGGTCGAGAGACATATGTGGGCACTATCAAAAGAGAACTAGATTAGCAGAATAAAATCTGATCAACCCTGTCCACTCTGTATTATTTCCCCCTCAACTTTTCATTGTGAAAAGCTCCGCAGAGAAACTTGAAAGAATTCTACGATGATGTATAATAGTTTAATGGTACAGTCCGCCTGGTGGATAACCCAACACTTGCTAATTTTTCCATATTTGCTTTGCACCATTTAGGTGTTTTCTCTGAGCGATTTGGAAGTTGTCAACATCAAGACATTTTACCCCTAAATGACACGAAATACTGAGCATGTACCTCTTAAAAATAAGGCTCTTGTCCTACACAACCGTCGTATCCCCACACAAAAGAAAACAGAATTCTCTGAAATCCAGTCCAGATTTCCCCAATCATCCCCAAAAGCTATATAAAGCTTTTTTTTTTTTTTTTTTCCTAACTGGGAAACAAACAATATTCACCACACTTGGCTCTTTTAAGCTCATTCTGTTTCAGTCCCCCATTTTTTTTTAATGACATTGATCTTTTGAAGAGATTGATTGGGCCTTTTACCTTGTAGATTGCTCTATATTATGATTTTTGTCTCACTGTTTCCTGCTAGTGTCATTTCCCTTGTTTCTTTCCCTCTGAATTTTTTGCTAAGTGGAAGTTAAAGCTTGATTAGGTTCAGGATCAGCATTTTAAAACCCTTCATATTGAAGTATAATACACCTACCCCACAGGGCATGTACTGTAAGTGTAAAAGGGAGTTTTCACAAACTGAACATGCTCAGGTCCAGAAGAACATTCCTAGCATCCCAGAAGCCCCCATTGTGCTCCCTTACACCCCAAGAGAGACAACTATTCTGATGCCATCAGTTAATTAATTTGCCTGCTTTTTTTTTTTTTCTATATAAATGGACTCATGCAGCATGTACTTTTCTGTATCTGGGATCTTTTGATATTGCATATGAGGAATCCGATATGTTACTCCTTGTGGTTATAGTTCATTCACGTTGTGTAACCTATGACTGATATTTTAGGCTAGATCACTTTTTTTTCAGGGAGCTGTCCTGTGCCTTATAGATGTTTGCAGGGTGTTTAGCAGCACACCCAGCCCCTACACACTAGATGCCAGTACCACTCTCATACCAGTTGTGACAACCAAATATGTCTCAAGACCACAATTTATGTCTCCCTTCTACTCTTGATGGGCATCTGGGTCGTTTCCAGCTTGGTACTAATACTGCTGCTGCCGATGAACATTCTAGTACATGCCTTTTAGTGGATGTATATGTGCATCTTGGTTGAGTTGTTCATCGTTCTTGTTCACTGAATGGATGGATGAAGAAATGGATGGGGGAGGGTGGGTGGATGGGTGGATGGAGCAGAACCTAGGAGCAGAATTGTTGAGCCAAAGTTTAGTTTTACTAGATATGGCCAGTTTTCCAAAGGGGTTGTATAGATTGACCCTTCCACTGGGAAAGCTATTTGAGAGTTCCAGTTGCTTCTCATCCTCCCAACTCTTACTCATTTTATGCATACTAGTGGGTGTGTGGTGGCATTTTATATCTTGGTTGATTAATGAGTTTGACACTTTCATGTGTTTATTGGCCATTTTTTAAGCTAACATTGAGTGCTTTTTACGTGCCACTTCCGGTCCTCACTGCTTTACAAGTCTTTTTTTTTTTTTAAAGAGATTTATTTATTTTGAGAGAGTGTGAATGAGAGAGAGAGAGGGGGGAGGGTTAGAGGGAGAAGCAGGCTCCTTGCTGAGCAGGGAGCCCGATGTGGGATTCAATCCCGGGACCCCAGGATCATGACCTGAGCCGAAGGCAGTCGCTTAACCGACTGAGCCACCCAGGCGCCCTACAAGTCTTATTTAAGACAACAACAGGGCCATCCCATTTCACAGATGGCTAAATAGTGGCTGGTAAGATGCAGAGCTGGGATGCCGTTCTTTGCAGTCTAATGTGGAGCTCCCGAGTTCTGGAGCATGCACCTTGGCCTTGCCACTCACCCTCTGTCATCTGGGCCACCCTAGCCACGTTGTTGAGATCTAACCAGTTGTTTGAAGGTGGCCATGGGACCATCTGCAGGGGGGCCGCAAAGACTGAACATTCCAATGGTGAGAATTCCAAAGGAGAGGGAGCAATTGAGGAAAGGGGCCAAGGTGGGTGGGGACCGGGGGAGTCTCAGGCTATAGATAAAGAAGGGAAGGAGAAGAAGCCTCCGCTAGAACTTGTGAAACATGAGGTATGGACGGCAAATGAAAAGTGTGTTTATGTGCAACTAATGAATCGTTGAACACTACATCAAAAACTGATGATGTACCATATGTTGGCTAACTGAACATAATAAAAAAGAATGAAAGGAAAGTGTGTTTATTTACAGGAAAGTCATGAGAAGCAGGAGAGACAGGGCTGCTGGGAGGCGGGGTGGCAGTGAGGTCAGGCGCTGGAGGGGACGGTCATTTGCTGGCTGTAGAGAGCCCAGGGGCCAGGCCGTGGAGGCGGGTTCTTGCTCTGGCAGCTTCGGCTTCGGCCGAGCATCAGACGAAGACTTTCAGGAACTCCACCAGGCGTGGGTCCTTGTGGAGCTTTTCCTCCAGAGCCAGGTACTTGAGCGGGGCCAGCTCCTTGTGGCTGAAATCAGAGGGAGGAACAGGAGGTGGTGAGGGCTCACAGAGCTCCACCCCAGCCTCCCGAGGGTCCTCTCCCGGCTCTCCGCTCCCCCTCACCGGTGGAGCCGCTGCTCCAGGATGCGGATGCGGAACATGGCCTGAGAGCAGTAACTCAGGTACCAGTCCTCGACCTCGGCCGTCAAGGTCACCTGGTTCTCCTGGTACCACTGCTGCTTCTTCTGCAGCTCCTGGGTCTCCTGCGGATGAGGGGAGGAGAGAGCAGGTGGGGTTGAAGAGGGCTGGCCCTCACCCAGGCTGCCCGCCGAAATCCCGTTGGTCCCGGGACAGCCTCAGGAGGGCTGGCCCCGCCGCCACCACCCACAGGAGCCAGAGCGGCAGAGGCGGGGGCCACAAAATATCTTGCGTGGGAGCCAGTGGGGACATGTTTAGAGGGATATCGTGTCCAGGAGGAGCAAGGCTCAAGACAGAGACGGCCTTGTGAACAAGTTTCTAATGTTTTCGGAGCTTGTCTGCAAATGAAGGGCATTACACGCCCCTGGTGCACAGCATAGAGCTTGTTGTGAAGATTAAGTGGTATAATGCGTGCAAATCACATGGTATGTAGCGGAAAGAAATGGGACAAAGACTAGGAGTTGTTGTACCCCCCTGCCATCCACCCACCCATGTCATCCAGCCCGCTATCTACCTTTCCACCCAACAAGCAAGGACGAGGAAGGACAACTCTGCCTTTTGGCCACTCTGAGCACTGATAATATTCATCCCCTCACCAGTCCCTCCCAAGTGTTGGAGATGGTGAGCAGACCGCCCCGGGTCCATTCTCTGGATGCGGACCTGGAGGTTCCCTCCCCTGCCCCAGGCGGGGGGCCCAGGCCGCACCTTTTCAAAACGGGCCTGGATGAGGTTGGCCTTGTCGATGAGCCGCTGCTTGAAGTCACTGAGGCACTCGTCCTTGACCCGCATGGCCTGCCAGCGCGTCAGCTTCTCTCCCGGAGGGAGCTGGGCCAGGAACGGGGCCAGGTAGTCCAGCTGGGCCTCCACCTGCCGCAGGTGCTCCTCGTGCATCACGCGCTCCTGTGGGCGGTGTCGGCGGAGTCAGGGCGCCAGCGCAGGCTGCAGAGACCCCCCAGACCACCTCCGCAACATGTGACGACCCCACACGAGGCCTTAAATCCAGATCCCGGAGCCTGGCACCTCTGGGACTAGGCATCAGAGGGGACCTCTGTGCTGTCCCTCATAGCCAACTCTGTCTTACGTGAATTCACGTCTCTCTGCCTGAGCCTCAGCGCGTCACTCACGCTCGGCAGATGCTTGAGCAATAAATGGTAATAAATGGTGGTTATAGCAATGTTAAATCAAAAGCTGCCAGTAAACCCCCCCTCCTTTTTCACTGCCCTCCTTATGGCCTGTGTCGGCAGATAGGGGCCAGTGAGGTTGGAGATGTGCGGGTCAGCCCCCATCCCCCAGGAGTCTGAGAACCAGTTATCTATGCCCTGTCCTGCCACGCCAACCCCAAACTATTTTTAGAAATCTCTACTTGGTTGGTGTAGGGGATTTAGAAACTGGCCTTGAAAACCCCAGCTGGGCCTTGCAGCTTGAGGGTGTAACCCAGATGTCCTGTGCTGCAGGTGCCCGAGAATTCAGGCTGTGGCCAGAGTCTGCTCACTGGGGTGACAGGCCCAGGTCCTGAACTTGAGGAGAGGCCTAGGTGGAGGTGGGTACAGGATTTTCCTTCTGTCCCCATGCAGTAGAGGCCTCGGCTTGGCCATAACCCCTGGAGGTGGCAGGGGTGTGGGGCAGACCTGGTCTGGATCCTGCATGCTCTTTGGTGTTCATTGGAGAAATGGCCACTCAGCAAGGATGACCACAAGGGTGACCTTGTGGATGGATGACCACACTGACATCAGGAGCGTCATCCCCTATAAAGGGCTTCCTGGCAGAGTCCCTAATCATCCTCACCACCCTGGAGGACTGGGGGGGGGGGGCGGGGGGAGGGTCCAGGAAAAGCCAAGGCCGGGGCCAGGGAGTAAGGCTCACCATGGCCTCCCGATACTCTTTGCTCTTCTCATTGCGCTTGGCGTCATAGATGGAGATGGTCAGGGTGTGCACCTCCTCCTCCTCCTCTCGAAGCTTCAGGATCTCCAGCACCTGAATCAGGAAGTGGGGGAGGGCATGGTTAAGACACCCTCCACCCTCGCCATCTCCCACCTGCCCACACTCCCAGGGGACCACCTCCAGCTCCGACTCCCAGGCCTGATGTCTGGACAGCTTCTCCTCGTTCTTCAGCTTCATCATGGCCTCGTACTGGTAGAGCAGCTTCTTGGTGTGCTCCATGGGTTCCACCTGGGACAACAACAAGCACAGTGACACAGTGATGGGGGACACAGCAATGGCTAAGGTGGTAGGCGGACTCTGGAGCCAGACTGCTTGGGTTCAAATCTCCCGCTGCCATTTTCTAGCTGTGTGACAACAAGCAACTGACTTAACCTCTCTGGGCCTCAGTTTCTTCATCTATAACAACACAGATAATAAAAGACGACAAACTGGGGGCTCAGAGGGACTAAGGAACGTGGTGGGAGCGAGAGGGTTTCAATGAGGAAAGCCAGCCCCGCAGAGGTGGTAGGACTAAGACCCTCTCCTACTCCAGTGTTGGTCCCGGGACCTGGGGACGGCTCTGTCCAGGACCGGGGGGCAAGGGACAATAAGGAGTTGTCTTGGCCTGCTGGGTGGTCTTTCTTGGTAGGAAAGGGGAAGGTTTTCAAAGGAGCTGCAGAGACAAGGGTCCCCGGATGGGAGCTCCTGATTTTCCCAAGGAGCGGAGGTGAACTTCCGAGCTGGGAACCACGCATTTCCATCCCAGTGTTCCCAAGTTGCGGGGACAGCACAGAGGGCCCCGGGACCTTCTCCCCGCCCGCCCCAGCACACCCTGCCGGGCCCAGCCCCCAGGACCACCTCAAAGCTGATGCACATGTCGGGCGTCATGATGATCTTGTTGCCCTTGCTGTCCACCTCCGTGCGCCGCAGGAACTCGCGCTTGGAGGCCGTGATGCGGTCGTCCCAGCAGTGGTAGCGCAGCCGGATGCGCTCCTCCAGGATCAGAAACACGCGCTCGGCTACGTCCTCGTCTGCGGGCTTCTCAGGGTTGCGGGAGAACCGCTCTGTGATTTTCTGGGAGGCCAGAACATCATAGGATGGGAGGTGGGAAAGGGGATTTCTGTGCGTGCCCCTGAGGGCGGAAGTAAAGGACACTCAGGGACACTGGGCTCTGGGGTCTTTGGGGGAGTTTATGTGAAGCAGCCCTTCCTAGCCAGACAACGGGCTCCCGTGGCCCGGCCACCTCGGCCCTGTGTGGGGCTGCATTTCTTCTCTAGCTCTCTCCACAGGAGTCTCTTTGCTCAACTCCAGAGATGGGGAGCTCACCACCCCTCCAGGCACCCTGCTGTATCACTAAACATTCCTTACTGCTAGGAAGAGCTCCTTTGGTATATAGGAGCCATTAAACACAGTTGCCAAACCATCCATTTGTAATGATGTGGAGAAAAAAGTGCACAATTTAATGTTAAGGGAGTGACACAGGGATTCTACCTTCACACACACACACACACACACACACACACATTTCAAATAAGTTAGAAAAGACTCCCCAAACCAAACCTATTAAGACATGATAATATTTGAGAGACACCCTTCTGAGTGTGCCTTATTATAATAGTAAGGAAATAACACACTCCTGGCCCAGTGATGGAGGGCGTAGTCTGGCATCAGGCAGCCTCAGGACTGTAAAACCGGACAGGGCCCTTGGGAAAGATGCGGCTCCAGAGTTGGAGCTGTCCCCATCCCAGGGTGACCTTAGCTTGCCAGAGAGAGTGGGCACCCTGTCCCCAGGCCCAACGAGAGCTCACCACCATTGGCCGGGGGTTTGACTCCGCGCTGTTCAGAGCCAACTTCTTGACCCTCTCCCCGAAATCCACGTGGCGGTAGGAGAGGAAGTCAGTCCGTCCCTGGTAATACTCCGTCATTGTCTTCGGTGTCTCCTCCCGCTTTATCAGGCCATCCACACGGGCTGTTTCGTAAAACTCCATGACGCGGTCCATCTCAGGTTGCATGGACTTGTACGAGTGCACTGCGGTGGGAGGCGGGGTCCCGAAAGTCAGCGCAGTGAGACCAGGCGCGCTGGCCCCTAGCTGGAGAACACGACCCCAGGCCCCAGGGGGAAGGCATTGTCCATGAATGCTCATGGATGAGCAGGAGTTATGTAACCAATGCCCCACTGCTGGGTGCTTAGGTTGTTTCTAACCTTTTTGTTCTTATAAACAATACAGTGGTGAACATCTGCAGCATGCATTTTTAAATTCTTTTTTTTAAAGATTTTATTGATTTATTTGAGAGAGAGAGTGAGAGAGAGAGAGCACATGAGAGGGGGGAGGGTCAGAGGGAGAAGCAGACTCCCCGCTGAGCAGGGAGCCCGATGCAGGACTCCATCCAGGGACTCCAGGATCATGACCTGAGCCGAAGGCAGTCGCTTAACCAACTGAGCCACACAGGCGCCCGCATTTTTAAATTCTTGCCCATTATTTGCTTGGGACAAATTCTTGGCAGTAGCGCTGCTGGTCAAAAAGCATACATATATTTTTTTTAAGATTTTATTTATTTATTTGAGAGAGAGAGAGAGAGAGAGAGAGAGAGAGAGAGAGAGAGAGAGCATGAATGGGGTGAGGGGCAGAGGGAGCAGCAGACTCTCCGCTGAGCAGGGAGCCCAATGTGGCGCTCGATCCCAGGACTCCGGGATCATGACCTGAGCCCCCCGGGCTCTCCAAAGCGTACATATGTTAAAGCTATTATTATTTTGCCCAACTGCTTTCCAGAAAAGTTGCGCCAATTTGCTGTCCCATCAGTAGGGCCAGGGAGCAGCCTTCTGCTGCTTTGCTCATGCCTTGTGAGACTACTTTTGTCATCTTTGCAACATGAGGCTTATGAGACGGTCCCTTACCGATTTCCTTCCTTCGTTCCTTCCCTATATTTCAACCACCAAGTGAGATTGATCATTTTTTAAGATATATATTGACACTATGTTTTTCTTTTGTGCATCCTTGGTTAAGGCTGTCGATTCTCTTTCAAGACATGTCCTTCCTTCACTTCCCTGCCTGTTGGGCTCATGGCCACACCTCTGCCCTCTGCATCGCCCTCGTGGGGACATTTGTTGGTTTTGTTGCTCAGCATTCTGACCCCTTTAAATGTGGCCCCTACTGTGTGCCCAGCCCTAACCACAGAATGGGCATGTGGCCCTGGTTTTTGACTTTCCTGGAGGGACATTTGTCACATTTCCCTGGATTTTCTGTGCTTCCCCTCACCTCCCACACATCTGATTTGCTTAGGCAGGTGGGGCGGTTTCTGTTGCTTGCCACATCCTGGGCTCCCAGCTGGACTGGCAGTGGGGCCCACTCACCACGCAGAGCCTGGGGATGGCCTGGCTTGAAGTAGTCGATATTCAGGCCCGTGCTCTTGTTGATGTGTTTCAGCTCTAGCATGTCCTCCCGGTTCTGGTACCACTCCTTTATCTCCAAAGTCTTGGTACCTGTGGGGCCCAATCGGTGCTTGCTGCAGCCAGGCCAGCTCCCCCAGCCTCCGTTCCCCCCGCGCTTCCCAGCACACGGAGGCCAGCGGGGCCCACACTCACACCAAGAGACTGGCAGTGACGTGCCCAAGGTCACACAGAGTGCTGGGGAACCCAGTTCTCCTGCCCCCGCAGCCGGGGCTGCCTGCCTTACACTCCAAGTCCTCGTAGGTGGTGAGGCGGCACACGAGGCCGTTGCTGTTGAGATACGGTGCCCACTTCTCCAGCTTCGCCCTCTTGTACTGGATCACCTTCTTCCCATTTGGGCAGCGGGTCTCGAACACTGCAGACACAGAGTGGGCTGGGGTCCCTCCTCCCCACATCGGGGGACGGGAGGGCCGACCCCACCCAGCCGCTCATCCGATCATTGCGCTAAACTCCTCCGGGCCCTAGGCCCGCTCCAGGGCGGCAGAGGGAGGTGGTCAGCAGGGTAGCTCCTGCCCTGGGGCAGTTCTCAGGTTTGAGCCTGAGTGCAGGAGCAGTGCCCGACCACGGCACTCACTCACTGCCTAGCCTCTGCCCGGGTAGCTCTCTCTGCCGGAAACACCATCCCCTCCTGCCCTTATTGGGCTGACTTCTGATCCCTCAAAACTTAGCTCAGACTCCTCCTCCTCCTGGAAGCCCTTCCTGCCCACCTACGCCCAGCACCCCCCCCCACCCCCGAAAGCAGGGGGCTGGGCTGGGTGCTCCTCCCCTGGTTCCCATGATGCCCTCTCTAGCTCTTCCCACTCAGTTGGAATAGCCTGTGCCCTCCCTGTGGGCCAAGGCACTCCCAGACAGGAGCCTCAACAGCCAGTAGATGCCGGCATGGAACTCCAGTGTCGCTGCCCTGCTGCTTTCTCGGCCCGCTCCTCCCTGGTCCTGACACCTCCACTCACCTGGGCCATCTGGGTACTACGCTGCTTGGCCTCCTCCTGGTGAGGGGAATGACCATGTCCGGGTCCTCCCTCATTACCCACACCCCATCACCCAGCTCAGGTTAACCGAGCCCCCTCCTGCACACCAGACCCGTGTCAGGCCCTCAGCCACAGGGCTGAGTGCGTGAGGCAGGAAGGAGGTGGAACAGAGTCCCCACTCAGACCAGGGTGCACCCGGGTGCAACAGAAGGCAGGAGGGGTGGAAATGAGGGGCTGGGGCAGCCTCTGCTGACTCCCCCTGAACTGGTCCTGGGGAGGCGGGGGAATACAAATGCACAAATACCTTCCGGAGAGACCTCAATCTTCTCTACCCATGAGGATGGCATGTCGAAACTCTTATCTTCATCCTCCTTGCCCTGTTGGGAGAGGTGGGGAGGGGGCAGGCTCTTGTCAGGGCTGGGCCTTGCAGGGGCAGCTAGAGGCAGAGCCTCTGTCTTGCCCCCCAGGGCCAAGCCACGGGTGGCTGTCAGCTCCCCCAGGGGAGCCAGAGGTCCCGGGCAGTTCTGACCTGGTAGGGAGGAAGGGGAGGAGGCGCAGGAGCCCTCCCTTGACCCACCTGACTAGGACAGCCATCCCCTGCCCTGCATGCCCCATGTTCGGTCAGTCAGCATGGGCACCGGGCACAGCCACAGGTCCTTCCTTAAGACAGAGGCTTCTGGAGTCAGGTGCCCCCAAGCCCCACCCTCCAGGACCCAGCCCACGCCAGCTAGGGGTCCTGGGCCAGTAAGTCCCGCAACAGCCCCGAGCCTGTTTCCTACCTGTTAACCAGACCCAGGGGAGGATTAACTGATAGAACGTATATAAACCACTTGGGACACTGCCTTGCTACTGTTTTTTTGGTTTTGTTTTCCTTTTCGAGCCTTAGTTTGCCCATCTGTAAAATAAGGCCCGCTTTACACAAATGGTCCACAGAAACTTCGAAGAGTTTTTCCCAATTTAAAACTGTTCCACAAACGTTGCTCACGTCTGGAGGCCAGCAGGGGGCGCCTGTGCCCTGAGATTTACTGCCAGGGAGGCTCTCTGGTCTCCAGAAATGAGGACGCTGCATCAAGCTCCCCACAGCAATGGTCTCATTTTATCCCCGAGCTGTCCGAAGGATAGAGAACAGAGTCACTGTTCAGAACCCAGCCTTGGGAGCCAGTCAGATCTCAGGTTCAAGCCCCAGCTCTGCCACTCACTGGCCATTGACCTTTGGGTAAGTTACTTCCCCCCTCTGTGTGTAAGTCTTCCCATCTGTAAAACGGGATGATGATAATCATAAACAATAATACTAACACCCCCCTCACCAGGTGGTTGTAAAGATTTGGACAAGTTAATTCAGACTAAGCTCCTGCTAATTCAGGTTAAGTGCCTACTGGGCTGAATTTTGTCCCCCTAATCATGTCCTGAGCCCCAGGACTGCAGAAGGTAACTATATTTGGAGATAGGATCTTTCAAGAGGTAAAGTTAAAATGAGGTCATTAGGGTGGGCCATAATCCAGTGTGACTGGTGTCCTTGCTTGAAGAGGAGATTAAGACACACGGAAAGATCATGTGAAGAAACAAAGACAACCATCTGCAAGCTAAGGAGAGGTACGTCAGAAGAAGCCAGCACGCTGACACCTTGATCTTGGACCTCCAGCCTCCAGGACCATGAGAAAATTAATTTCTGTTGTTTAAGCCCCTCAGTGGGTGGCACTTGGTTAAGGCAACTCTAGCCACCTGATACCCCTGGTCCTGTTCCTGTGGATGTAATTGATCCCATTCTCCACCCCCCCCCATTTTACATACAGATGACGTATGATGAAGCTCTCCGTGATTGGGAATTTGCCCAAGATGTCATAGCCAAAAGCTAAGGCCTCTGGGCCCCTGACCCCCAGGCACAGGTTCTCGAGGGGACCTCCTGGAAGGGCTCCCGACTAGGAGATAGGAGAAGGATGCTGATGCCATGGGGAAGGCCCAAGGCCAATGAAGGGCTGAGAGGACAGACAAAAGCCTGGAAGCATGTGAGGGGGACCACGGTGGCTATGCAGGAAGGCCTGGAAGTGAGCCCAGGGCTTGTGGTCAAGGTCTTAGCACCCCTATTGCTGGCGACCTGCTCTTTACAGAAACAGGGCAACCATCAACCAGGGTGGACTCTATGTGGGCCTGGAGACCCAGATGCAAGTCCCCAGCCCTTCCCTACCCCACTGGGGGGGGGGGTCCTGGGCAGGTCAGTGGACCTGTCTGGGTCTTAGTTTGCCCATCTATATAAAATGAGAGCATGGTCCAGGCCCCTCTGCTTTGGGGAATCTATAATCAGTCTCTCTGGCCCATCCCCCCACCCCCCAATACACATACACAGGGTGGGGAATTGGTCAGGTTGGCCTGAAGCGGGACAGGGTATAAAGCCCCATCCCACTGCCCGGCCCCGCACCGCTGAGACCCACCAGGTTCTCCACATCTTCATCATCATTCATTCCGTCCTCCTCGTCCTCAGCCATAGACAGGTGGGCCTTATCTGTCCCCAGGAGCAGGTACTCCCACCTCACAGGGTCTCCCAGGTCAAACACCAAGTCCTGATGGGGGAAGGACCAGTTGAGCGCGCCCCACAGCCAGCACACCCCCTCCTGTTCCACAAGGAACAGCCGCACCCAGAGTAGAGGAGGGACCCGGGCCTGGGTCTCGGAGGAGCAGAATGTCGGCTCCTGGCAGCCTCTGAGAGCCCACGCCCATCCTCCTCATTTCAACAGGGAAACTGAGGCCCACCCCATCGTCCAGACTCCCCGTGAAGAAATCCTGCTGTTGGTCTCCGTGAGACTTGACAACTCTCTAGCCTGAGACAGGCCTGGGTGTGGAGGTTATCCTGCATGGTCAGGGGAGCGTCGCAAGCAGTGTTCAGAGCAGATGGAAGTCAGCAGGATTTTACGCGACAGGGAAATGGAGGGTTTGAAAAAGGGCCGCCTCACGGTTTTTACCCGTGCCAGGGAGAAGGGAAGTAGGCAGGCACACGAGGAATTGCACGGAGGCGGCAGGTGGGAATTTCTCTTCCGTGGGGTGGGGCTCCCACCTGCTTTTCATCCAGCCTACCTGAACTCAGGTGTACGGCTCAATGAATTTCCGTAAATTGGACACACCCTGGTTCCCTACACCCAGATCAAGAAATAACACATTGCCCACATTCCCGAAAGCCCTCTTGTGTCCAGTTATGACCTCCCCCAAACGTGTGCGTGTATTTCTAATGTATGTTAAGTGGACTGAGTTTTATATATATATATGTATACACACAGACACATTGTATGTGTATATGCATATATAAATTTATGGGAATTCATTGAAATGTACACTTAGGATGAGTGCACTTTTCTGCATGTATGTTGCACTTCAATACATTGTTTTTAAAAAAAAATCATTCATACAAACTAACAATCCACATTTTGTAAGGCTACACACATCAAAAGAGAGACACTAATCATATTCAGATCATTATGTATGGACAAAGGAGTGGGCTGTGGGGCTCAGCTATGGGGAAAGTCTGGAACTCTGTGGCAGCCAGCTCACCCCACAGGGGACCCCCCCTCCCCCCCCAGGACTGCCTGTCACACCCGCCCCGCCCCAGGCCCAGTACCTTGCAGCCGTTCCAGCAGTCCTGCATGTTGACCCAGTAGTTCTTATGGTTCCAGAGGCTCTCAATGCCCAGGAAGTGGTCATGCTGGGTGCTGTAGCTGCGCCCCGTGAACGGATCGATGAAAAAGCTCTCAGGCACCTCACGCTTCCCCGACAGCACCAGGACCCAGGCGTGTACCCGTAGGCCATGCAAGGGGTCGATCTTTGCTTTCTCCACCTCCTGCACAGGAAAGGTGGGTGACCATGGGCCGATGGGTGGGAAGGGGGGTGTCAGGGGCACAAACATCTCCCCAGGGCTGGGGAACCAGCAGGAGAGCTGAGTTCTGGTCCAGGGTGCAGGTTTGGCTGGCTGCATGACCTTGAGGACATCACCCAGCTTCTGAGCCTGTCGTCTTATTGATACAGTGGGAGAGTCTGAGTTTATCTGTAGTTTACAAACTGGGCCCTTTGGAGCCCTAGAGTATCTGGGATTTACTGGCTTTCTGCATTGCCATTCTGGGTGAGATTTTATCCAAAGGAAGGTAGGGGGCACTGTGTGGCTTCCTTGTCTGCTTCCCTCCGGAAGAAGGGTGACTGTGTCATGTTCATTATTACATCCACAGAGCCTGGACGAGAGGAGATGCTCAGCAAATACTACATGGAAGGAAAGGAAAGGGAGGGAGTGAGGAAAAGAGTGGGAGAGGGGGAGAGATGAGAGTATGGATGGATGAAAGGAGAGCCGGGAGAATGGATGGGAGGATGCATGGGAGGATGCAGAGCTGGGAGGATGCATGGGGAGTGTTTGTAGGTAGGTCTTTAGGGAGAGAGTCTGGAACCAGGAGAATATCAGAGCCCAGCATAGAATGAATGGGCGGCCTCAGGAAACAGAGCTGATATTAGAAATCCATCGCAGAAGCTGGCTAACCACCAGTGAGAGATCCGCACATTGCTGGGCAGAGTTGGGGGGATGGCAGGGTATGGAGGAGGGGGGATTGGGATTTGGACCTGGGGTCCACGAACACATCCCCTCCGCAACCTGTGTCAGTTGTCAGTCGCTAGCCGCCTCTCCTGGAGAGCTGAGCACAGGGGCTGAGGATGTGGACCCACCAGGAGGCGCTGTTCCTCCTCCTTCCGCCGCTTCTCCTCCTCCGCTTTGATCTCCTGCTGCTTCTTCATTTCCTGCTCCTGCTCGAACCTGCTGCTCAGGTCTCTGGGCGGTTTAATGGCGTACTTCTTAGGTGGTACCTTTTCTTCCTCCTGGACCACCTGTCACCCAACGAGAGGAAAAGGATCAGCCGCCCTGCATCGCCCGCCCCTCAGACCAGGAGGTCACAGCCGCTCTGGAGCAACACCCCACCCCCAACAGGCTTTCTGGCCCTAAATGCAGGAGTCTCAGCTCCCACTAACCTAACTTCAGGCCCTTCTGTAGAATGGGATGGGACCAGTAAGAACCTTCTCCCCAGGCTTGTTCGGAGAAGCAAAGACAGGAACACGCCCATGTGAGGTGCCAGGCACAGCAGAGACCGGGGGATGTGATTTTCTCCCCTTTGTTGCCCACGGCCCTTACAAACTACGGTCTGCATCTGACCTAGAAAGCAGGCGAATTGTCGGGAGTTGGATTTCCCAGATTCTGTCACTGGAGGGTTTCACGTGCTGACTTAGAGTTTGCTGGGCTAGGAAGGAGAAGAAAGCCTGTGTGCATGTGTGTGTGCGTGCATGTGCATACGAACGTGTGCTAGGTGGCAAGAAAAGTGTCCAGGGAAGAACATCACAGAGGCTGCAGATGTCACGGGGGCCTGTGATAGTGAGGAGGGGAAAATGGTGAATCTCTGCAGCTTAGAGTCAGCCAGGTGGGGCCTCAGCCCGTGGGTCTCCATCGACCAGCTGGGCAGCTTCGGCCACGTTGTCCCATCTCTCTGTCAATCTCTACATACTCGTCTGCAAAATAGGAGTGATAATACCCACCACACAGCGCTATTGGGAGGACCAACCAAGTCAATGGATACAAAAGTGGTTTATAAACCCGAAAGTTCTCGGCATCTAGTGGCTATTATATCATTTGAGTTATTAAAATTTTGGCTGATGTAAGAGGCCCATGTGTGAGTTCACAGTGCAGCCAAACGCAGTGAGGTTTTGTTCCATCTTCCTGGGGGAGGCGGACCTGAGGGAGCAAGACTCCCACCTGGTGCCTTCCTCCAGCAGAGCACCTGCGCCAGGGCCCCCGGGGTACTCACCCAGGTGTGACACAGTTGCACCTGCAACCTGCTGGATGCCCCAGGCCCCTGGGTCATCTGCCCTGAGATGCAGACACCTCCAGGGGCTTGACTCTGATCACAGAGTCCTGGAGTCAGTCCAGTCCACAAACAGCATTTTTGTCTGTACTGTGGCTATTTCTCAAATGCAAAAAGTTGCTTTTTGATTCCTAAAATTAAATTAATTTAAGAGTGTTTCTTGGAGCACCTGGATGGCTCAGATGGTTAAGCATCTGCCTTCGGCTCAGGTCATGATCTCCAGGTCCTGAGATCGAGCGCCCCTCAGCAGGGAGTCTGCTTCTCCCTCTGCCTGCCTCTCCCCCTGCTTATGCGTGCTCTCTCTCTCTCTCTCAGATGAATAAATAAAATCTTTTTTTAAAAGAAGTGTTTCCTGTGTCCACAGCAGCCTCTGGCCATTTGGGGGCTGTCGGTCAGCAGAGAGAAAAACACGACCTGCACCTGCTGGAGGGTTGGTGATAATTTTTTGCTGTTAAAAAGGGGCCTTTTGAGGGGGTACCTGGGTGGGTTAAGCGTCCAACTCTTGTTTTTGGCTGTCATGGTCGCAGGGTCTTGAGATTGAGCCTCGCATCAGGCTCTGTGCTCAGTGGGGAGTCTGCTTGGGATTCTCTCTCTCCCTCTGCCCCTCTCCCCCCGCCACTCTCTCTCAGATAAATAAATAAAGCTTTTTTTAAAGTGAGGGGGGCTTTTAAATTGAGGGGGTGGAGGGAAAAAGGAGCAAACAAAAATGTCTGTCTATTTGTCTGGTTTTTCCTTACATGAAAGCGGCTGCGTGGATTTTTATCCCACAAGTCGGGTGAATGTGGGCGAGACTGACAGACGTAAGACAAGCCATGCAGCACTGACAGCACGCACCCCGTGGGGAACGGTAGCTGAAGGTGGGGTACGACAAGGGGATGGGGGACAGCGGTCTGGAGAGCTGGGCTCTGTGTGCCTAGGTGCCCGGGACAGACCCACCGGGGCAGCCTGCAGGCGCTCGGCGCATGGCCGGGAGCCGCGGGGACGCACTGCGATAAGGAGTTAACTCCTGATGGGACAGGAGTTGGGACAATGGACCCGAGGGAGCAAGACTCCCACCTGGTGCCTCCCTCCAGCAGAGCACCTGCGCCCTCCCAGGGCAGCACGAGCCCCGCGTACCTCCTTGTGCTTCATGGTGAGCGGGCACACGTCCCGCGTCAGGTCCATTTGGCACAGGTCCCGAGAGCCGTAGCCGTTGATGCAGTAGGCGTCGTAGCCGGCGCCGATGAGCAGGGAGCAGAGCAGCGTGCTGAAGTCGAAGCAGTTCCCCTTCTGGTGCTTGAGCACCGTGGTCGAGGAATACAGGTGCGAGGGCTGGCCGCAGACGGCTGGTCAGTACGGCCAGCCCCGTGGCCCCCAGCCGTCCTCCCCACCAGCCAGCAGCTGGGCACTAGGGCCAGTGTGCAGGCTGGACCCCCACCCCTCCCCGGGCTCCCCTGCTTTGTCAGGTTGGGGAGCCTGCTAAGAATGGGAGGGGAGCCACGGCCCGTGTGTAGAAAATACATTCCACATTTGCCTGTAATTTTTAGTGGCCATGGACTTCCTGATGGGAAAGACCCTCTGGATGATGGAAGCTTCTCGTCTAATGCTCTCTGATTGATCATTTAATGGTTTTTGTTCCAAAGTCCTCCTCACCTTCTTTTCTGATCCTTTCCTTCTCTTCCCTTTCTCAGCTCTCCACTGTGTACCTATCCCTTTCTCCCTTGCTCCCTCCATTCTCAGTTGGGAAACAGACTGAGCTGGACAGAAGGCCAAAGATAGGGCCAGGGGACACGGGCAGCAGGGTCCTCCCCCTCTCTCCTTTCCCCATCTCCTGAAGTCTTGAAAGGAAGACTCCGAAGGCAGAAGGAAGCAAAGGAGGCAAAGAGGTAGGAGCCAGGAGACCAGGCTTGCTGTGCGACCTCAGGCAAGTGGCCATCCCTCTCTGGGCCCATTTCCCCACTCCCCACCCCCGTGGGGGGTGAGCTCTGAGGGACTCAGACCAGATAGACTATGGACTGTGGCCTGAGCCTCACTGAGCCTCCTTCTCCCTACCTCCCTGGCTTCTCATCCTAAGCCTCAAGGGCCTAAGGATGCAGCCTGGGGTGGCACTTACCGGCTGAAGGGGGTCAGGCAGGGGCACCATGGAGAGGAAGTCTGAGACAAACTGGGCACAGCTGTCCCAGTTGTAGAGCTCGGGGTAGGGCATCAGCGTGGGCCGGATGGTTGTGCTCACGAACTTCTGCAAGGGGAGAGACCACAGGCCCCAGAGAGGGCATTCTACCCGGGGGAGGCCGGTGCTCCCTGGAAGCCAGGGCCCTGGGTGGGGAGGGAGTGGAGAAGGCTCTCTAGGCCTCTCTGGGCCTCAGGCTCCCCTCAGTGCCTCAGGAGTTGGAGAAAGGGCTCCCTCAACACCCCTCCAGCTTATTTATATTCTTATTCATACTTGTGCCCTACTGAGCGCTGCCGGACCAGGCACCACCTCCTCACACCCCAACGGCCCTGTATGTCAGGCCCACTGGCAGATGGGGAAACTGAGGCTCTGGGAGGTGAGCTGACTTGCTCAGGTTCACAGGCAATAGCAGCACTGGTCTGTCTGGCTCTCGACTGCCACCCAGGGTGGGAGAACTAGTGCTACCAGGGCCCTCGAGGGGCTTCTGTCCCCCCGGGCCCTGTGGTCTGGGGTCCCTAACGGCACCTCCAGGGTCTCCCTGTAGATGTGAGGAAGGCCTGCCAGCGCAGGAGCTCCCATGGCCCCACCCGGGCAGGCCGGCTGACTGCAGCAGGGGAAACGCATGCGGGATTACCGGCTCAAGAGAAGTGGGGAGCGGGGACCTGTATGGGAGTCGCTGAGTTTCACATGCTGGCAGCTCATACAAATGTTAAAAACCACCATGTGGACCAAGGAAAACAGCCTGTGAGTCCCTGTCAGCCTATGGGCGGCTGTTTTGCAAACCTTGCTTTTATCCTCTGCCATTTCATCTACTGATGGAGAGAAACTGAGGCCCGGAGAGACTCAGGACGTGCCTGGGTCACAGGGCTGGAAGGAAGGAGGCCAGTGCTCAGGTCCCGGTCCATTTCATCTTATTTCTCTGCCCTTCCTGGGACACAGCTGGTGTCGGGGGTTGGAAACTGCGCCAGGGGTCCAGCCGCCCCTTCGTGGGACGTGGGGTCTCCAGGCCACCACAAGCCCCCCGGGGTGATTCACATCGAGCCTGCTGGGGCCCACTGGCATTTGAGTTTATGCCATCCCCAGATAGAAGCTCTGACCCACGAGCTTTGGCCCACCTCCCTCCACCCTCTGCTCTCCAGCCCCTGCCCTCCCCTCCACAGCCCAGCCTTACGGGCACTTCGCACTCGTTCAGCGGGTGCAGGAAGAGGGGCACACGGTCCGGGCACAGGTGGCTATACTGGCGGGCGAAATTGTCTGCCACCTGCAGCAAGTGTTCCTCCTTGAGCGTGTTGCTTTGGTAGGAGAGGGGGAGCTTGGAGATGTCGAAGGTGTCCCTGGTAATGATCCTGTGCCCGCAAGAGCGGAGGCATTAGCCCAGGTGAGGCTAGGCCTGGCTCACAGGGAGCCGACCGTCCGCCCACCGTAGCTGGCTCCACCCCTTCCTCATGTCCTCACAACTGCCCAGAAGGGGTAGCATTATTATCATGTGCCCTTTTAAATAGACAAGGGAACAGAGGCCCAGAGAGGCTGAGTGACTCGCCCGGGGTCACATAGCTCCTGAGGGGCAGAGAGGGGACTCAGCCCAGGCAGATGGAAAGCAGAGCCCTCACTCAAATCTGCTTCCCTCTACATCCAATCCTGCCTCCCAACCCTGGAGCCACTATTCTGCCTGGCTCTTCTTTTGCCTGGCCCTGGTCTGACTCTCCGCAGGGCCACCCGGCCCAGAGCCCCCGCCCCCCCCCCCCCCCCCCCCCCCCCCCCCACCCCTGACACGCACGAGGGCTGCTCCGGGATGACGATCTCAATCTCTGACAGCTTCTTCTCTAGGTCTCTGAGCATCTCCTGCGTCATGGGCGGTTCCTCCCTCCGCATCTCCACGGGCCTCATAACCTTCTCGCCCCTCTCGGCTGCCTCTTCCCGCTCGGCCTCCTCCTCCTCCTCCACTTTCTCCTTCAGGACCTCCATCCCGGCACGTCCCCGGCTGTCTCGAGACAGAGTCCCCGTGGGAAGGAGAAATGCACTCAGAATGGCCCCCTTCTGCCACCAAGACCACCTGTGTCTCTGGGAGGCGGTTTAGAGGGGGGAAGCAAGCCCCTCTGAAACTCTCCTTCCATCACGCAGAAAGTCTTGCTTGGTGCCAGCACGTCTGTGACACCTTTCTGACATTTGCAGATCTCCCGCTAAGACAAAGACAGAGCAGGCGGCAGGTTGAAAGCTATGGTCAGGGCTGGAGCAGGTGGCCCAAACTTACCAACGCTGCTTTATTTATTTTATTCATTCAACAGTATTTTCCCTTGATGGCAAGTGACGCTAATGCGGTAGGGATTAGAGAAAAAAGGAAGGAAAGAAAGGTAACATCACCAAACTTGGAACCGAGACCCGGAGAAGGCAAGGGCAGGCTGCCGCCAGGCACCTGGACAAGGGGCAGGTGTGTGGGGATTGACATAGCCTGTCAGGCCAAGCCCTGTGTCGGCCCACAGGACAGAGGTCACAGAGAATGGCTTGGTGTGGGGAGAAACCCCCACACATTTGGTGACCAGAAGCGTCAGGGCTGAAGTGTCCTGTGTGAGAAGTAAAGGAGGTAAGACACTGAATTGAGTTCTTCCATTACAGACTCTAAGAGGCAGTCACTGCTTTGGTACCCACTTTGCAGATGAGAAAATTGAGACCTAGACAGGTTAAGTGCGGTGCCTAAGGTTTCAGAGCTATTAAGTAGCAGATCTGGAGTGTGAGCCCATATATTTATGGCTCTGGAGACCACACACTTCCGGGCCTACTGACATAGGGAAGCCCTACAAGGGGGGGGGGGGGGGGAGAGGTAAGTAAAGAAGGGTGTGGGGAGAAGGCCAAGGTGTCTGTGGGCAGCAGGGGGTTACAGCTGTGACAGGCACTGAGACGGGCCCCGAGCCCAAGGTCACAGAACACCTTTATCAGAGGTGGAGCTGGGCCAGAACCTGCTACACGTATTCCCCACACCAGGCTGCCCTGTCCGCTACAGCCCGGTTTGGGGAGGGCAGACCCTGCCCGGAGACCCTCCCCACCCCACAGGCCCTTTTCTGCCCCCCTCCTTAGCAGCAATCCCTCCCACACACATGGACACACACACACACACACACACACACACACACACACACACACACACACACACACACACACACGCCTTCCCCAGAAAGATCAGGGCTGGAAGCCCCCAATCAGAAAAAAAACCCCTTCCCACCTCCACCCTACTTCTTACCCTGCCACCAGCTACCTCAGGTCCTCTGCTCCCTCCTCACCCCTCTGAGGACAGCCCGTGCCATCTGTTAGCCCATCTCCATGGTAACAGCTTTCGAAGCAGAGGGCGGGTTCTGGGAGAGGAGGCTTCTGGGAAATGTAGTCTTCTGTCACTGTCCAGGTCTGGGCCCAGAACACCATCTGTGGTAGGTCCCTCAGCAAGTGACTGGCTGGAGGCAGTTTGTGCCCACTTGCAAGAGCTGATTGTTAAAATTTCAGAAATGTTTGCAAGCCAGTTGACAAACTGCCATGATCACTCATTAAATTATAAAAACATAAATAAATAGATGATGTTAAAAGCAAAGGTAATTAAAACTCATCACTTGTTAAATATTTGACTACATTTTACCAGCAGGTATGTTCTTGAAGTTTCTCATGACTACTGTACCTGTATAGTGGAAATGGTACATAATGGCGAGCTACTCTGAATTTCTTCCCAGCTTCTCTTCAGTGATGTCATGTCGATAACTTAAAATTAGTAAATGTTGGGATGCCTGGGTGGCTCAGTTGGTTGGGGGTCCGACTCTTGATTTCAGCTCAGGTCTTGATCTCAGGGCTGTGAGTTCAGGCCCCACGTTGGGCTCCACGCTAGGCATAGAGCCTACTTAAAAAATAAAATAAGCAAATGTTATAGACCAGGGATTTTCCCCTCACTGAGCCCATTGTTAAGCACTTACCAGGACACGCCTCTGCCTCTGCCCCATGCATGGTCTGTGTGGCCTTCATCAAGACGGATGGAAACCAGTGTGGGTCCTAGCGTATCTGTTTATCATGGTGGAGTCTTGTGTTCTCCTCCAGGCTGGGCCTCTGATTTCGTTTATAACTCATGAGACAGAGAAAACTTATCCAGAAGGTTAGTGGCCCATGGAAATTAATTTTAATCTTTCAAATTCAGAAGAAAAAATGAATAAACTAATGATAAGCATATAATTATGAGTCCACCCTGGGTTATATTCATCATTGTACCAATGCAGTCAAAAAAAATATATTTTTACTTTTTTGTTACTGGGGGAAGGGGCCCGTGAATGTCGTAAAGCAGCCCTGTGGGGCGTGGTGGGAGGGGGTGTCTGGAGAAACACCATCCTGACAAGGTTGGACAGTTGCTGCTACTTAGGGGAGACATAGCAATCACCTCAATTCTCAACAGTAAATAATGATTTTAAATTCTGGCCAGAATATTACTCAGTCATGAAAAAGACAGTGTGAAGGCTAAATTAAACTGAGGGAAAGGTCACGGGGCAGTGCGTCCTACGATTACTTCTGGGAATTTCCCTTGGGGTGAGGGTGAACAAGGAGGGGGAAAGGTAAACGGGTGGTGTGTCAGGCTCTTCTCATTCTTCTGTATATTTATTTATTCCCTTTTATCCCTATACCCAATCCCATTCTCCGACCTTCATAGGCACCCATTCTGATCCATTTTTTTTCCCCAAAATGAACACTATTTTGCATGCTGCTGTTTTTAACTCGTGTACATGATATTGTGTTAATACCACCTCTGTTTCTTTTATTTTCACTAAGAACTGTGTTTTTAGATCCATCCATGTTGCTGTGTGTCCACAGTAGGGATCCACTCTATTCTCCCAGTGATGGACCCCATCCCCAAACCCCTTTGCCACCAACCCCTTCTTTTCCACTACAGATAATGCCACACATGTCATCGGCCATGTCCCTTTTGGACCTGTAAGAGTGTTCCTCTGGGAGGGGCGCCTGGGTGGCTCAGTCATTAAGCGTCTGCCTTCGGCTCAGGTCATGGTCCCAGGGTCCTGGGATCGAGCCCCGCATCGGGCTCCCTGCTCAGCGGGAAGCCTGCTTCTCCCTCTCCCACTCCCCCTGCTTGTGTTCCCTCTCTCGCTGTGTCTCTCTCTGTCAAATAAACAAATAAAATCTTTAAAAAAAAAAAAGTTCTTCTGGGGTACAGAACCAGGAGCTGGATTGCTAAGTGAGTGGCGGCACCCCGTTTTTCTCCAGGCCATGAAAGCTACACTCTACCCAACTTCCTCAAGCCCTGAGAGAGCCTAGTACCCTCGCCCCCCACCCAGCAGTTGACATTATCCAGCTTCCTAACCTGCCCTTTGCCGGTTTCATACAATGAAGATACAGTGAGGTCCCCCTGTCATCTTAAAGGGCAACTCTGTGATTGCTGATGATTTTAAGTGTGTCTTCATGGGCTAGCTTGTTACATTTAGAGAGTTCATTCTCTGAAATTGCCATTTAAAACCTCAGCCCATTTTTCTCTATTAGGGAAGTACCCTTGTTTTGATTTGCAGGCCTTCCTGATGTTAATCCCTGGTTTCAGATGTTGCAAATACCTTCCCCCATTCTGTCCCATGCCTGCTAACATTGCCTATGGTGTCTTCCATGGAACAGAAAACTTTAATTTTGATGTAATTAAATGTACCAGCTTTTGGTCTGATGTTTTGTGCTTGTGATTTTTTGTTTGAGAAGTCTTTCCTTGTCCTTAGGTCACAAAAATATTTTACTACATTAACTTTATCGTTTTGCCATTCCATCGAGAACGTTTACTCTGCCTGGAGCCCATCTCTGAATGAGGAGTTAGGTAGGGATCCTGTTTTATTTTCCTTCATATAATGAGTCAGTTTTCCACCATCATCATCAGACTATCTGTCCCTTATTGGTGATGCCACTATTGTTGTGCCATAAGACCCTAGGTGTGTATAAATCTGCCTCTGAGCCCTTTGTTCTGTTCCACTGGTCTTCTTGCCTATCCCTGCTCAGACCCCATGTTGGATTTACCACTATGGCCTCATAATATCTTTACATCTGCAGGTCAAGTCTTCTTTCTACTCCTTTCATTAAGGTTGACTTAGCTATTTGAGGCCGATATGCCTCCGTACGAAAGTTCAAGTACATTTTGGGGAAATCTAAAAAAAAAATCATTTGAAATCTTTATTGGAACTGCATTGTATTCATAGGTTAATTTGTGAAGAATTGTTGTCTTTTGATATTAAGTTATCCATCTGGGAGCACAGAGCCAGTAAGTCTTCTTATTTCCTGTACATTTGTTATAACGTAATGAAAAATACAAGGAATGAAGAAGATGGGGTGGAGCAGAAAGAACCAGGCAGGGAGGCATGGTGGGGGGTCCTCCTTGCAGATGACCACGGTAGTCTGGAGCAAACCTGTGGCTCAGTCACTTTCACGCTGGGCCAGGGGTCCAGACACCAGGCAGCCCTCCCAGCCAGGATCTCCCTGAAGCCTTCATTCATTCTGTGGGGCAGGTACTGCTATGCTTGCTTTCTGGGCTCAGTAGGTGAGGAATTGGCCCAATGCAAGTTGCAGAGGAAGAATGTGGTCCAGACAGGCTGACCTCAGAGTTTGTGCCTTTAGGCTGGTGCTGCCCACCTCTTAGATTGCTGCTGTGGTCGTGCAGTGATAGTGGAAGCCCATCCATCCGCACTGGGCCTTGGGGTGTTTTTTTGCCAGAGCACCACCTCGCCTTAGCATGTGCTCAGCTTGGCACTCGGAGCCACTTTTAGGGTGACCCCAGGTAATAAGGGATGCCAGCCCCTCTGCCCCTGCCTGGTCCTGGACTAGACAGCCAGTGGAAATGGACACATCCCCACCATTAACCACATCTCCCCATCTTCCGTCTCCATCAGCACCAGGAAACCCAGGCCATTCAGCCGTTGTGGTTTTGTTGCCCCTGCATCCAACTGGGAAAGCCAGAGCCCAGCGTTTCCCTGGAGACTCAGGGTTCGGGGCTGAGGCAATAATTCTAGAACCCAGGAAATGCTCTGGGAGGAAGCATGGGCAGCCCAGGGAAGCCCAGCTCTGCATCAGCCCCCGTGCAGAGTAGCCCTGGGCAAGTTGCTGGACCTCTCTGGGCCTCCATTTCCTCCTCCCACACAGGGCTGGCCCACTTGGCAGGGCTGTACAAGGAATCTGGAAGGGAGCTTTAACCCTTCATACCCCTTCCATGTTACACACAGGTCTCAAAGGTTCATGGTTCACACAAAGGGGCCACCTACTCTTTCCTTAAGCCATGGGGGTCTCTAATACCAGGCTCTTTACTTATGTCACCTCACTTAAAGCTCTCAGGTCAAGGCAAAAACTTGATGATCCCCATTTTATGGGCGGAGCCACTGAGACTCAGAGAGGTGAGGAGACATGCCCAGCATCACACAGCCCCTGAGTAGCAGAGTCAGGATTTGAACCCAGGCCTGTCAGACACAGAAGCAGCTGTGGACCACACAGGTTTGTGTTCAGAGACTCTGAGACTTTGGGGTAAGGGAGCCCAGCCCTCCAGCGTGAGAAATAGATGTCTGTAAAAGTAAGTCTCCAAACCCACCAAGCTTGTCCACAAAACCTGATACAATGTGGCTCCACTTTTGCAATTGTCCACACCCTAGAATTTCTCTTCGACTTGCATAAAGCAGGGGCCTCTGCCTTCCTGCCTTGCATCCGTTTGCTGGGTGGGAGGAGGGAGAAGAGAGGGCATTCACTCAGCACGGACATCGGACATCGGGGAGCAGGAGGAGGGCTGCAAGCCCAGAGGCTGTGGGGGACGGTCTCGTAATAGTGGCTTCTCACCTCGGCAGGTGCTTGACCTCGGCAAAGCACACTGGCAAGGACAGGGGTGAGGAGGGAAGGTGAGATGGCCCCAGTGGTGGGGGACTTCAGGCTAGAGGTGGGGCATGATCGTGTGGGGCGGGGCCAGCCAGGGGGCTGCTGTCTTTCTGTCCCCTCCACTCTTTTTTTCTTTCCCTGTGTTAGTTTACCTATTCATTCCTTCTCTCTCTCTCTCTCTCTCTCTCTCTCTCTCTCTCTCTCTCTCTTATCTCTGCCCCTTCTGTTTCCTACTGAGGAAACCAGCACGATGTTGCGAAACGGAGGCCCAGCCGCGGGAGGTGACACGTACCCCCGCCGGGTCTGGCCTGAGACACTCCCCTGGCTCAGAACCTTGCCCGGACGATGCCAAACTCACTCCTCCAGCTATTCAGCCAACAGGTGTTTACTCAGGGCCTGAACAGTACCAGGCTCGGGCTGGGCTGAACTGGTGAATGAGGCTGATCTGCCTCCTCGATTGGAGCTCAGATCCGGGGGGGAAAGCCTGCCCTCTCTCTGCTCAGCGCCGCCCGCTGCCCCCCTGCCCTGCCCCTCGGCCCTCGAGTGTGCAGAGCTCTGGAACATTTGCCCTCCAGCCGACGGTGACGGTGACGGTGATGGCAGATGAGAGGTCGGGCCACACATGCAGCAGTCAGAGTGGGGAGGGGGCTGCTAGTCCCCACTACTGAAGAAGTGGCATTCTCTGAAATTCTGTGTCCCCGGACAGCCAGAGTGTTGGCAGCCCCCTGAACGGTGGGGGCTCATGCGTGAAGACAGGCCCAAAGCTCTAGTCCACAGCTGCCCCAGTGCCTGAGGGGATGAGGGCAGGCCGCCAGAGGGTGGGGGTGTGGGAGGGCAGTGGCCGG